TAAAAAAAAATAGCGATAATCTCTCAAGTGACAGCAGGGACAGCAGATGAAAATTTGACACAAAGTTTCGTATACGCCGTTCAAATTATTTAAAATTAGAATAAAATCTAATAATTGTACGTACAATGTAATTACAAGGTAGATTATCATAAAATAATTTGTTTATCAATCTTTCAGTTATTTCATGATATTGATCAATCACTTATCGGAATCGGTGATCACTTCGCACGTCGAATGACGTTTGCTGTCGAACGATGTTACGTATTACAGGGAGTAAATAAATGCATAAATAAGACAATATAATGCTTGAAAGACGAAGCGTATTTCTCTTTAACGAGCACGTGCCTCACGAACATATGCCCATTCGTGAGCCATAATGCTTATACGTATACGTAATGGCTGGCCGCGTGCATTCCTTCTTGCGTTGACCCTCATCACATATATGAATCATAAATCATAAGCATGTTATATCGCGGATTTGCAAACAGTCTCGTATTCGTCGAAGATGTCGTTGGTGCTTTACGAATTTACAGCTCTATTGAGGCGTGTCAAGTAACGTGTTGCTATATTTTCGTAGACAACGGTTCAATATGATATATTTGACGAACTCGCAAATAAGAGAGGTCTCTTATGCAGATTAGAAGTCGTCAATATTTTATCGCAATCATTTCGTTAATCTTCGATATTTTTATTTATTCATAGAAATCTACATTTTATGTTATAATAATATACCATAATAATTAACAGTTTTACGAAATTGTTCTTCGTATTAACATCACGTATTTTGTATTTTTTTTTTATTTTCTGTTTCCGATTATTCGATCAATAACCAGTATTCATGGTTCTGACGAGTTTGAAATTTAACTAATACGCAAATAAATAATTGTTATAAGAATACCTGGATCTGGAAATATAGAGATTCGCGGAAATCATCTGTTCCGCGAATTGCACGTGTTAAAAGATTCTTTTGAAAGGAAGAATAATGCAAACAATCTTGCTGAATCGTCTCAATAAACGTTTGTTCTGCTTGTTTCTCTGCGGCCGCGCGCCTGTTATTACATAATTACGTATGTACACTGTGAATGATTCGGCTTAAATGTCAAAGGCAACGAGGCACTGCGATTTATCGTATCGTTTGATACGTAATGACTAAGAAACAGAACGTAATATTATGCAACGCCTTGCACGAGGGTCATTGGTCATTCAACTTGGAGTAGCATTGACACAATGTAGGTGCTGATTGAACTACGGAAACGTGCACGAACCGGCATGATTACCTTGATATCTCTTTACCGTACAAATATCTTACGAAACGTCAGGTGAAATATAGTATGATTATAGTGATGATTTAAGAAGTATATCCTTTGATGCTGTCAATCCTTTTCCTTGACAACTTCTTTCGCGATAGGTTGCAGAATTATTACTTTGCAAGCATCCTTCGATCGCGAGAAATTATATTGATAAAGCGTGCGTGGCATAATGCATATGAAGTCTTTTTTCTTATTTAAAAAAATTTGGAATATATTATACCGGGAGTAAAATATGAGAATATAATTATTTTTAGCGATGACGATAAAGATACTTGTAATTCAGACATAAATACGTTATTGCAGGCTTTTTATGAAAATTCGGGTTAGACGTAAACAGTTTCGATTGAATTTAAATAATAAGAATAATATAGAATATAGTTAAGAATAATATATATATAAAAAATAACAAATAAATATAATAATAAGGAATAATCAATTAAAAATAATAAAAACTAGACTTAAGCATTATTTATCTCTATTTTCATTGTTAGCTATATACTGTCAACATATAGCTACGTAAATATAGCTAATATAGCCTAAGAAAATATTTAAAAAGAAAGAAGGTAATAATAAATTTCGTCGCAATAAAGTAACAATGTTATCAATAATACTATATAATAACAAAAGGAGGATAATATAATTTCTACAAATGCTTTGTCCATTACGTTCGTAGGGAGCAAGTGGTTGTTTTCGACATGTCCCATAACACGCGTTCCCATATATTTTTCTAATAAAGATGCAGCGTTGTATTCTCATTAATATAATGTTCTCGGTACTACAATTTGCGTAATGTGTCTTAATAAATCCAATTGCTCCCTCTAAGCAGATGTCTCTCAATGTATAACAATGTAACGCTAGCCAGCGTGTAACAGGCAATGAGATCCAGCATCGAGTAGACTTTCATATAAAAGTACGCACGTAGCCTAAGCATCGTGTCTAACAACAAGGATCGCATTACGGAGCGTGAATCACTTAATATTAATCTAGTACAGCCACGTGGTACGGACAACACAGACTACAACTACACACGCGAGTGATATGATGATTGCTCCGATCGTGGCTTACACGTGCACTAGGAACCCTAGACTAGACAAAGAATTTACGTCCGCCATTTTATACGTCAGACGTCCGGCAGACAAACAAATATACCTCATACGATGCTCGAGAATAATTGATATTTATAACAGTGGCCCATGACAGATCGATATAGACTATCATACGGTAGATGTGCACCATCTGCGTTATTGATCTTATAATGGCAATTAAATATACCGTGTACCAAACGTATTTAACCTCTTTGTGGCTTTGTCTAATTCATAAATTCTTGTTTCTTTTTCTCATTTTTCAATAAGCATTTCAAATTTCCTCGAAGTTCGAAAAGATATCAACTTGTGGGTTTGTTGAAAATAGCAGGAGATAATCGATATTATTGACATTGAAAATGAAAAGAAGTTGTATATTGATCGTTCTAAATTATAGATTTATTTTAAATTATTGTAAATTAAGTGATCGAACAACACTCTGAGCTCTGTTAAACGTCGGCTACGTACTTTCAAATCTCTTCGCAAAATAATTGGAGCTTCTTTTTCGTAAATTGTTAGTATCGTAAATCTTCAGAATGGAGAATCCGGTTATTTTTATATTAAATATGTACTTTAGTTTCATAAGAGTGAAACATAGATAAGCATAGACTGAAGTTTGGTAAACTTTTACGTATCCGAGACTGGCTCGAAATATTTTACATCGTCGTAAATTTCAATCGTTATCGTAAATTAAATTTACGTTTTAGCGAAAGGATATTAGAGAGACACTTCACACGAACTAAACATCTTCGTGTCTCGGTATCAGCTACATCTACTCAAAACTTCAAATTGCGAATTTTGAAACAATCGTGTCGCTTGACCAAATGAGTGATTTATCCGAATGTAGACGGTCGATGTACGAATTGCGTAACGTTTCATCGGGTCGCGTACGCATTGACGACTGGCAGGATGAAAAATGAGCAATACATTACACGATCCCTCCGTGAGAAGTGGGCCATTGACCCAAGTAGGTGTAACGACATATTATTGCAGTAATCGTGTCTGCGAACGAGTCACCGCACGAATCTACCGAGTGGACGAAGATAGAGCGCGTCTAATTCGACGATTGAACCTGTCTCTCGTTTCTGCCTCGTCACAGTAGCTCTACTACTAGCCAGTTCCTTCCAGTGCCATTTGTTATTATGTAACGTGCACGTTCCCCGGTGATGTCTCGCGTTCGCGAAAATCAATCCACATCCGTGACTTTGCCTGCCACTCGATCTTCCGCGATGAGGTCAATCCGTTTGAGCTCTCAAGGTCTTGGTACAAGGAACGATCGTGAACTTGCGTTTCTCAGACGGTACCAGTTTAGACTTTCAGAGAAGGTTCTTTAATATAATCGAAATGTTTGTGGGACGTTTGTCAAGTTGGACTTTGACGAAATATCGCTCGATTCTACTATGCTCTTTGCTTCATTTTTGGCTGAGTCGTTTTTTTCTTACGACGGGAAATACAGGGAAGCTGGGGAAGTTTGTTTCTGTGCTGACCCTTTGAGGGTCGAATCTTTTTTAACCAACGAGAAGAATTATTTTTTTATCGGTCGTTGGTAATAGAAACATATGTTTTTGTATAAAAAAAGATATATCGTATACAAATTTGAGACCAGTTTTACCGGAAACAAATATATTTATGGTCCAGTTAATTAACGTTTAAAGATTAAAACTAAAGCAAGAATGGGAAGTAAAAATTTAAGGAGCGTGGAGTTAATAAAACAATGAAGTAACATTCGTATACGAAGAGGCGATCACGGATAAGTGGAGGCTCTTAAATTCAATTCCATTGCACACTTTTTCTAGAGGGAAAAGATTTTTAACATTCGGGTTACATCATCATCCATCGAGATGAAAAAAGGAGGAACAGTTATCCAAACAAAAACGATTCTGCAGCAGACTTAATCCTTCACAAGCGCCTTTATAAAACACAAACGAGCCTCCAGACTCATCAGCATACGTCGTATCTACAGTTTCCGTCTGAGAGATCATCAAAGAGCAAAAGGAATACCGTTCTACTCGTAAAACGAACTCGAATCAAAATCCATCGATATTAATCATTCGAAAAAATTTCCATTCGTTCGGTGAATGCGTGACAGCGCCGTTTTTTTCTATTATTCTTTTTTATAGAACGCAGACTGTACTGTAATTCATTTTTCTATTTTATAAAGAACACAGATTGCACGGTAGAACTCGATTTATCGAATCGAAATGTTAGTTGACGCTCAATTAACTCAATTTTTGCTGGTTGAATTCACCTGTCTGAACGCGAGCTTCTATTGTTTGAATAAAAATTAGTAGCGAAAAAAATCGACAATCTTTTATTATTTGAACCGCAATTACATAAATTTGTTGCGCCTAGACAAGTTCCTATAAATCGAACTCTATCGTACTGCGTTTCCTTTTGCCATTTTATAGAGAACGCAGATTGTGCTACGATTCCTCTTTTCCACTTCGTAAAGAATATACGATTCGCTTTAATATTTTTTCTGGAACAATGGCTAGGTATACTACGATTCGTTTTGCTGTTTTATAGAGAATACAAACTGTACAACGATTCGCTTTAATACTTTTTAGAGAACACTGATTACGCTACGATTCGTCTTGCTATTTTATAGAGAACGCAGACTGTACGACGATTCGTTGTCGCGAGGGGCAGACGTGTCTATCGGAGATGAAGTCGGGCCGACCACGTTGCGTGACCTGTACCTATCGGTGTCCCCGGAAGCGGGAGCGCGTCCGGAACCGGACACACCGTGATCGAGATCCATCGGCGACCATGTTGTGTGCCACCAACAATATCACCTATCCAAGCTGGTGTCACATCGTCAAGGACGCCTGCGCTACCGGCTTCGTCCTCGAGACGCGACACGCCGGCCCCTGCAACGCCTACGACACCTCTCCTCTCTATATCGGTAAGTCCTCGACACGCGATTACGTAGATAACACGCGCTTGCTAGTCAATGAATACTGTTGGCTGGGCCCTGTCTGTTCCAAGTAGCCTCTGTATTCAAGTAGCGAAGCTCGACGCTTCACGCCTATCCAAATACGCGACCACGATATTTGATTATTTTGCGCAATACTTTTACCTTTCTTATGATTCTAGCTGGTTTTATTGGATTTGACGAGTTTTATGATTTTCAACCAGTTGTTTTTGTGGCTTTGGTAGATTTCAATAGCAACATTCAAAGACACGACTTTGATTATTTTACACGATACATTTATATCTTGTATAGGTTTCGTTTTATGTGTTTTTATTCGTTTGAATGAGTTTTACGGGTTTAAAAAGTTGTTTGCTAGACTTGAATGAAGTGTGTATTACACGTGTTATACATATACTCATGGATGGTGAAAGTCAGTGAATAGGTTTCTGTTGGATTAGAAAATATGTTTGTTTCAATGAGGTTGATTTATGGGTGTTTTCTATCGATGCTGACAATTGGAGATGGAATTTTTAGCATTTTTCTCTTTTTTTATTATATTTTTTATTTTGAAAAGTGATTGTGCGTTTTATTCTATTCTAGCAACTTGCAATACGTTGCTTCTTGCAAATGTAACTTCACGTAGGGGAATCAGACAAATATTCTAAATACTCGTGACAGACGATAACGATGTTTTATAAATCTGAAAATCGAGGTAACTTGCAATAAAGCAAAATTTAACTGCTTCCTTGCTGATAGTAATTGTCCATTGAATTCAAAGTTCGGAGAATGTTTCGCGTGTTTTCTGCGTTATTGCGTTATCATTTATTTTATAATAAAACGCGCAAAGTTAAACACCATCGAGAACCAAAAAGAAAGGAAAAAGGAAGAAGGGGAGCAATAAGAAAGAGAAAAAGTTGAAATGCAGAGCGTGAACTCGTTTTTCATGGAGAGCAAGCGGAACGAGCGCAGACGGTAACAGCGTGGCGGTCGACACTTCCATTCCGATTTCATTTCGCATTTAGCAAGGGATCGCCGATGTCGAGGGGCCGCGTTTCCCATGCCGTGATAAAGCGGAATACGCGTCTGGTCATTTATCTATTTCTCTCGGAGGCGTGGGCCATTCACGAGCCGTCTGCGAAGCAAGCGATCGTCGTAATCCAGCGTGGAATTCGCCTTGTTCGAGTCGCCTCTGAGAATATACGCGCCCACACGCTCGCTTGTCTCGCCCGTTAAACACAGTCAATCGCGAAAACCCAGAGGAGAGCTAGCCATGGAATTCTAGAGTTCCGTTTGCGATGCCTCGTTGCGTGTGCACTCTCGTTTCTCGCTACGCTTCCTACTGTTGCGTTGTCGCCACGCCATGGGAACCCATGGAACTAGATCGATTTTTATACAAATTTTCAACGCGTCGCATTCGCTGTCTTTTTTTATTTTCATTCGATATTTAATGTTTCACACGAGTGATCGTTTAGGCGATTTAGAGTGATTTCTTCAATGAATCTATACATATAGAGTTTCTTGAGACGCGGTGAAATTTTGACGATTAATTTTTTGAAATACTCGCGTTCAATGAGCGAAGCTGTGAGTCGATTGATAGTTTGACAGAACAGTGCTTCCTGTTAGAACGTGTTTTAGTAATGTTAAGAGTTAGATTCTTAGTCTTTTTGCAAGAATGAGGGAAAAGAATAATCGAAAGTTATGCGTAATTCGAGAAGATAATACAGATGAAAGATTATGAGTAAAAGATTTATTGAGAAACTTTGAGAAATATTGAATTACTTCTCTTGTCCTTCCCAATAATCTTGAAAGAGAAATTATTTCTTATTTCACAATAAAATATAAAAGTTCTGTAATTGCATTAATCGAAGAAAAAGCTGTCGATACGATTCTTTCGTTTCTTCCAGTCGATAAAATGCTTTTGTCGTGCGTGTACAAAATGTTTGTGTAGATGTAGAAACCTGTTGCATGCCGGACATAAACGGGAAAGTTTACGCATCAGCGTCTAGCATCCTAAATTATTCTGACTTTTATCTCAGGCACGACCCACGATTTTTCAAACCCGACTAGAATTTATCGAACTTGTAGCATGCTCTACTTGGCACGAGTAAGTACCTACAGTATCAATTAAATTACGATGGTTTCTTGAATTGCTACCGGTATAAACGTATTCCGACATCGATCACCATTTCGCTAACGTTATTGATATTTATTTATAAGTTCCGATGCCCACGCTAACAATAAAATTAAAATAACTATCGTACAGAATGAAACCACTGGTAGAATTACAACAGAGTATTTTATGCTACATTCTGTCGCATATCGTGATTTATTTTGTATTGCAAAATCACTATAAAATAGACAATAAAGGGTGATTTTATAGAGCGATTTCGAGTTAAGCCGGAGAAGAAAAGGAAGTAAGGAAAATTTTATGCTGCTTAAAAAGTTTTATCGTTCTATTATATAGCTATATTATTCCATTCTTTCGTTATTCTACTCTATTCATTTATTTACTAACTACTAAACTAATTTTTTCGCGTAAATTGATTCCTAGTGCCATTTTATTAATAAAAGCTAAAATTATTCAAAGCTTGACACTTTACGAAATATTTAATTTTTGCACCCGTGCATTTAGAAAAAGGATTCTACCACAAAGCGATAGAGCTTGTTTCTCTACGATCGTTTTTAACTTATGGAACATAACCGTAACCTAGATCAGTTACAGATGATAATAAAATTGTCTATGTTTCAGTAGAACGATAATTTATAAATAAAACAAAGGAGAGATCGTTAATCGATAAAACGAACTGGAAAAAATAGAATTATATCGCGGTGATATAAATTTCCTGTCTGTGACATTCCGTCAGTGTATCGTATCGCATATTATATTTTTCACGCGTTTATTACCTTCAACGGTTGTTCCCGTGGAGAACAACGCGTAGAATAGGTTCCTTTCTCTAAATTATAATAGACGCAGTTGAATGCGGCTTTCTTTCATGCCGCAAACGCGCTTATATGTATCGTAATTACATCGGGAAACGATACAATGACGGTTTGCTATTACGCAAATTATAAAAGAGATCGTAACACGTTCAGGAACAGAAGCTTTTGAATAATTTGCATTGTCTTTACGCAGCAAACCATAAACACGGAGTAACGGTGCAACGTTTTAGTTTTTGTTAGGTCGGATATAGATAAATCTAACTTTGTGACACGTACTAGCTGTTGACATTTTTATAAAACCATACGAACGATACCGATGATGAATAACGTATGGTATATGCAACTAACGATCCGTATGTAAGATTTATTTATGTGCGGTATCATATATTATTGCTTTTTCTACGTACAGTTATGAAATTGTCATCAATTTATTATTTCCTTTTGTTAGCATATATCTGCTAGCGATTCTGAAAGTAGTCTAAGTCAAAGATATAAAAACATGGTACTTGTCGTACGCTTTGTGTTACGTTGATTTACATTATAATAACATTGAAATATCATTGAAAAATCGTATGAATTGAAGCGTGAAATGAAGTCGGTAGTTATATCGTTAAACAGAACTCGGTTCTTGTTTACTTTGACGTTATTTGATTGATAAATCGGTCAGTCCGCGAGAGACTTATGAATAAGAAAATCATTTTTCTTTTATTTCGTTTTACATATTTCATCGTATAATTAAAAACGTACGTCTTAATCCACGCAAAAGAAAAATCTTGAAGCGAATATCTCGAAAGAAAAAATGCACAAGATCACCTTCGTACAAGTCTGCAGGCATTAGATATTTAAATAACCGTCGTTACTTCACGTAATTTTTTTCATTTATAAAACGATGTCTAATTAGTTCGTCCTAAAATACGTTCCCTATTGTTAGACGGTATTTGTTCCTATTTAAATAACAGTTTATCAAATTCAGATTGAAAAAGATTAGCTTGCTACGACAAAAAGAAGAGAGATACGTTCTTCAAGGACTAAATTAGAGTCATCTAATTGATTAAAATTTGCTAACGATCCATTACGATCTGCCTTGAAAATCTTATATCGAGCTGTTTAGTCTGCATCCATATAGTAGAATGAATTAAGTCTCGCGTGTCATTTACATTTCAATTCCTCGTCCGTTCACATGTCACGTCATCGATCAACGCGTTCGATAATAACGAGCCAAGGGAGAAGAAGAGGAGAATAACGTATAAAATCGAAGTATGTAGCCAGTTTAACGGCATTTCTTATCGCCCACGATACAATGGATCGCACCATGTGCTCGCGATAAAAAAAAAAAAAAAGAAAAAAGAAAAACAGCTCGGCGCACCATCGAAGAAAAAGCTCGCGGAACGTTTTCGATTCGCATGGTGTTCGGTCTCGTTCACGATCGTCAGTTGAAGATAGCATCGGTTTCGCAGCAGTTCCGTAGAAGATCGAGAGATATCGAAATCGGCGTGGCATGCCCGGAGGCGGTATATATCGAACAGGCTTTAATTTAATAACCACCCTTTTGCTTTGGCTCTTTGTTACAGAGGAGGACAACACCTCGAGCAACTACGGCGTCGATCTGGCGGATGAGGACGCGAGATTCGAGGACGCCGAATCCCTCTCGTACAACGGGCAGACGCATCGTTCTTTGGCGTTGTCGTAGCGCGCGATCGATCGATCGATCGGTCGATCCTGTTCGCCAACACGACACGAGTCGTAGATTTCTCCATAGGTGCTCGCTCGAAGGAACCACGCGGATAGGTGAAACGTGTCGCAAACGGAGAGATATCCTCCGATCCATTCGCGAATCCACGAACGATCCACGCGGATAATCGAAAAGTAATCAGATGAAATTCATTCGTTCGCGGATCTACGTGGCCGATCGAAGAATAATAAGTTAAAATTCATCAATTCGCGGATCTACGAACGATCGACGTGGGCGATCGAATAAAATCGATCGAAGAATAAAATTCAACGTGAAAGAATCAGACGACTACCGCGTCCAATTCTCTAGAACCGATCTAGATCGTATTAAGGAAATGTCACGCGAGATATCGTGTGAATTTCCGCTCGAACTTCCGGAGAACTCGAGGAACGACGCGTAACAAACATGTTCGCGCTTCCTCTTCGCAGGTTATACAAGAGCGTACATATATGAACGCCATTAAAATCGCGTGGATGCACGAGCGGCGAGATTCGTGCCGGATAATGTAGATTAAGGGCAGATCAGTATTCTTTTCTCCGTTTTCGGGAGGATTTCGAGGTTTCGCAGGTTCGTTCGCGTACAAGTGACGATTTCTTTTTGTTTTTTTTTTTTTTTTTCATTCGAAAGGAAGCGGAAAACTGGCGAATCGAGACTAATTTAACACTTTCGTGATCGAAGCGCGCGATTTGCTACCAGTCGGGAGCCATTCGCGCAGGTTTGTATCTATTGTCTCGGTGTACATAAGTATTTCACGAGTTTGACGCAGACAATTGCGTAAGAAATTGATTATTTCGCATTTTGAGAACGTTTGATAGTGTTGTCGGTTGTTCGAATAGAAAAATATCTGAATTTTTAAAATTTCCATAGTACTTTCTGTGAAAAAGGTATTTTCGAAGTATCATTGGTGAATTTATTACAAAGATAAAGTGTTTCTCCGATGTTTTTAAGAGTACAATGTTGGTGTATATGTTAACTCCGGTCGATGAAAATCACTATTATAATATAGATAGTGTACGAATTAAGCGAAGTTGTAAATTGCTGTAAGTATTGTTTCGTCATCTGCTTTCTTTCTTTTGCCTTTTTAGCGTTATTTTTATTCGGATCAGTTTTAATCGATAATGTACCACAGTGTTCTTTTGTATTAATTTATTATAATGTTAATTAATTTATTGTTCGAAATAATATGAATAAACGAAGTCTGATTGGAAAATCGTGTTCAAAACTTCAACATAATACCAGCTTTTTAATTTTCTTATTTTAACAGGATACACGGTGTAACGTGAACTTTTATTACCAACGCGTATATAAAATACATTTATATCATACGGAGATAGTAACGCGATACAAGTCAAGTACGTGAAAAGTAAGCTTGTAATATTTTTATTATCGTAATATTATTATTATTTTCAATGTTTTCATCCATGCACGTTTTTAGCCACGACTGCCGTTTAATATTGTAGAATTCTGTACATAGCACGTTTACTTTACGTTTATGCATTATTTCTTAACGTTAGGATCGTAAATCTCTCATCGATACTAAAGAGTAACATTTACTAATCCAGCAACATTCATTCACTAATATCGTTTAAACTATCTCGTTACATGTATCGTAATAATAATTCGCTTTAACCAATTACAGCCATACAATTGTATTGGCTCCTGACGATGTATCTAACATTCGTTTTCATAAAATAATCGCGAAAGTGTTAATGACGTCGATGAGTAATAACCATTCATGATCTTTTCGAGAAAACTTTCAAATTAATCAATCCATGTGCTTACTATGGTTCGACGAGTATTATGTAAGTAGATCATTTTAGGAACTCAAAGAATACGGAGCTAATCCGAAAGCTTAAACGACTTAAGCAAGTTTCGCAGGACTAATCGTTAGACCGCGGATTTTTATGCATTTATGAGAAATTTAAAGATGTAAAAATACACAGAAAATATATAAAATATTCAACTAATTCTCCGCTTAGGTTCCATTTTTCTAGTCGTGTTTATAAGATACGAATTTGCATAAATATCCACAGTCTATTAATCACAGTCACTTCATACAAATATCCAGACGGCCGAATTTATCTTTACGACTTTAATTCGCATAACTGGCTGGCTATCGTTACATCGTGCAAACTAGTTACACTTTATTGAAATATTGCTTCTTCGTTAACACATCGTGGATAACGTTGGCCATTAATCGGTTAATCTCTTGCCTTATAATATCGTGTAACACTCGTGATACGGCAAATGATCGACATTCAACAAAGGCACGTTGTATTTTCCATTTTAATTTTAATTTCATAAGTAGATCGACAATTTCATAATTATTAATTAACGTGAACTGAACAAAAATAAAGTAAATAAATCGTGAGGCAAGGGGTTAAGATTACATCACGAAAATATGATCATGTCGAAGCGCGTAAACGCTGTTGAAGCTTCGAGCGCAAACGTTATTCGAAGAAAACCAGGCACAACGATGGCTGAATAAAATCTTAGAGGTTAAAACTGAATGCAATAAGGAAATTGCAGGTATCGTATACCGGCGACGTTCAGCTAGAAAATATTTGTCCGTGATAAAACTCGCCAGGTAGTCGCACAGCGCGCATTAGAAAAGTTACGGGAATTTTTCACTGAAATTGCGTCCTTGAAGAGGAAGGAAGAAAATAGAAAACCGGTGTGGGGACATGATGTATGCATGAATATTTATCCGTTACGAAGTTAATAGAGTAGAGCGGTCGAACGATGAAAAAGATTTTCAAAAAGAGGCAGGAAAGACTGAAAAGCGGAGAGTGAAATTAAATTTAACGAAGCTTATGGGATCGACGGTAATTTATGAAATTACAGTACGCGATGTGTTAATGGATTTTATAGCAGAGATTTTAATTTCATCTAAAAGAGAATAGGTGATGTTTGATGATTTTATTTATTTTTTTATTGTAACTGTTTCTATGTGGAATTATTTATTCTAATTTGTGGAATTTATGATCTATTATTAGTTCTTGTTGAGCATGTTTGCCTGTTCTCTTTGGTTATATAATTATCAATGTTGAAGCTCGGAATAATTTTATAAAATTGATAAAGATTCATTGTGAGAAAATTTTTTCCAGAAAAAAGGAGGATGATATCTCTACTCTAAAGCAACAGATGTTTAATTATGAGAGATTAAAATCGAAAGTTCCATCATCTTAAAATTTAGCTTACATTTTTTGCAAAGAGAAAATGCTGACTTCGAAATGCGAGTTACTTTCTAAAAGATTCTGATCGAGTTTATGTTCCTTTCCTTTTAAAATTCAGATAGAAGATTAATTCTGAACGAATCAGTATTATTCAATTTTATGTGATGCAAGCATATACTATGTGGAATCATAATAAACGACCAAGCTGAATCAGGATTAACTCACAAGGATCACTTGTTAACAATCACTAGCATTCGTTCATTTCTCATACTAAAGAAACAAATACTAAACGCAACAAGGATTATAAATTATCAAAACAGTACGATTTTTCCAAATTTCGTAGCAGTTCAAAAATTTTCTTTAAAAATTTACAGATTCTCTCGCTTCTTGGTCTTCGATGAGTTAAATAATATTTTTTTTTTTTTCGTCAAATCGACAAAATTTCATTCCACATTCAACGTAATATTATACGATATTTCTGATTCTTAAACGATAACTAGAATTCCATATTGATATCGTTTCATTTTCACTACCGTGTATGTATCAATAATTTTATCCGCATCGACCAGAAACCACTTTGTGCTCAGAAATGGCATTTAACGATCGTGCGTTTAAGTTACGTGTTCTTAAATACATGTACAATATTAGACAGACCATATCTTCGATATCAGACAGCACCATTTCCAATCGTTTCAATGCCTCCAGTCTGGCGCCAGTAGAATTCCCATAATATTCGTACTTAATTTATGTTAGTTTTACGACTTGCGTTAACAGCTCTGCTTATTCGCTTACGTTAACAGCTCTCTGCTTATTCGCTTGCGTTTTATTGGTTACAATTACGTATCTCACATTTTTTCCGATATTGTCAACGTTCTACGTGTATCATTTTTCATCACTATGACCAGGTTAGTTATCAGCTACTATGCGATTAAATTAATAGGAATATAGAGGAAGAAAAAGATCCATGAATAAGACAATTTAACGAAGAATGATAGAATGGTCCTGATTAAATTATTGATACGATATTCTGGCGTATGATTTTCTTCGAATGGCCAGTTAAAATTAAACGAGTTTTTTTTCTTTTAAAGAAAAATTAAACACTGCATGGGAGATATAGAATTTTTAATTATCCAGAAAAGATTGTTGAAGAATTTTTTATTATTTTTGTGATAGAAATTGATTATATTTTTAATATTGTGTATTATTAATATTAAAATTGAACATGTTTTAATTTGTTAACGTTATCTGTGTTATTTAATATTTTTCAAAATGGTTTAATTTTTATGTAAAAAAGATCGTTATTATTTTATGAAGAAATTTTTAACGAAAAGCTTATAAAATTCTGTGCAATTTTTCTTTGTAATTTATTTATTAGAAAACGTGTCTATTTGATATATTGTTTAAATTGTTACGTATTATCGCCTTCTTCTTTTCTATCATTTTTACTTTACTTACTCGGTTCTTTGTTCATTAAATTCTGTCCCATGGGACTGATTTTGCGGAATGCAAACTGCTCCGTAGCTATCCCCACGAAACAATTAACGTTCCTGACAGGCGCAAAAGTGTTCCAAGAAAGGGGGAAACGTCGCGACACCCCGCATCATGAAAATACAAGATTGGAATTGCTTTGCGATAATGCCAATTGTCGCTTGAAGGGTGAAACAATTTCTCAAATATTCATACAAGGAAACATGATCCTCTGGCATCTCGAACGATCACCATGTTGTTAAAGTGTCGTTTGTTTTCTGTTATTGTTTCGGAAACAGGAAATGTTCATTCGTTCGGAACAACTGCAAATAATTTTTCGATTATGATATTTAAAATTCGCGATTCTAGTTACATACAATAATTTTACAATAATTATACAATAATTTTATATACATTAATTCTATACAATAACTTTAATCATAGATAATTGTCCATCCGTGTTATTCTTTTATTTATTCGTTGTTCTAAATAAAATTAGATTTCGTTTCGAAATATAAAATATAAAAAAACATTTTTAACGTTTTAATGTATTAATATAAAATTAATTTTTTCGGGACCAAATATTTTCTGGTCCGAGAGAAAATTGTCCTTTTTAAACCAATTATTAATAATTAGAAACAGATTTTCTGTCAATGTATTTTTGAAAAAAGACCTGGTGTACTAAAATTTCAAACAAATAATATCTTGTCGAAGTATAACCACACGTATACGTGTGTATATGGTGAAATGGTTTAATTAAGAAAGAAAGTACATTAACATTACAGATAACAATTCTTTCATGTTTCCGCGAACTTAAGAAAACACAAGAAAACGTAACAGCGCCAAATATGTTGCAATCAAAAGAATTATTAGATATCAAAACAACGTGAACGTCAGGATCTATATAACACGACACTTCAAAGACAAGAATCTATGTTATTTGAATCGTTGCAATTCGAAGACAAGAAAACCATCGAATATAAAGATTCCAGCTGGATAATTTCATTCTTGCAGGGTGACGCGTGCGATAGTATTACAGAATTTGAATGGCAATAAATTTATGCTCATTTCGACATTTACGCGAGCACTTGAGCAATCTCGTATTGGATATTTCTATTCAGCCTTTGTCTTATGTATTCTATTCGTCTATTTCGAGGCTACGTGAACCGGAATGGACGTTTGATCCGATGAGACCTGTCTATCGTTGTTAGAAGCAAGGTGTATTCGATAAAATCATAGGTTAACGCCGAAACGACAAACAAGTAAAAGATACGCGAACGAGATGTTGGTGACACTTAGCTTTAAAGAACAGTGTCTATTACCTGTGAACGGTGAAATCGTTTTTAGATGGAAACGCAATTATATGCGATAATATAGTTCCTGTATTATATATATAAATTTAATATAAATTATTCTATTAGTAGCTTTAGATTATTCTAACAGTAGTACGTTGTACGAACCAAAAATTGCACGTCACATTAATATCTGTCGTAATTGTTCTTTCGATGTTCATTCAAACTAACTCTCGTAACTCGCGAGCGTTTAAAAGTCTGCTCGAAAGTTTTGT